ACGGCGAGCCTCAGGCGAAGCTCATGCCTCCCAGCAGGGGCAAGCAACATGGCCTGAAACAGAACGACCTGGCCCTGGTTAGACCCCAGCACCACCACCAACAGTGATAATTAAAGGAGCAAAAATGAGTCCATGAGCCAAATCAGATCCTGGGGCAAAGACAGTGTCACTTGGGATACAGGCTTGCTTGGGGTGAGGCAGCAACGATCTCGTTACTGCAAGGAAAAATGAAAACCACGCTTTTATTTAAGACTGTGGGCTTCTTTGGAAGGCAGTATCCAGTAGCCAGGTTTCTGGGGAGAACTAAGGCCAGAGGTTAAAAACTTATTCTTTGTAGAAGACCATTGCTGGATTTTTAAATCATGTTCTTCTCTGTACTGATCTGTATTATCTAGAAAAAAAATTCCCTCCCTTTGGTACCAGAGATTGAACCCAGGGACACTTAACCACTGAGCACACCCCCAGTCCTTTTATTTTTTATTTTGAGACAGGGTCTCACTAAGTTGTTGAGGGTCTTGCTAAGTTGCTGAGGTTGACCTCAAACTTGCAATCCTCCTGTCTCAGCCTCCTGAATCACTGGTATTACAGGTGTGCACCACCATGCCTGGCATCCCCAGCCCTTGTTATTTATTATTTTGAGATGGGGTCTCTGTATTGCCCAGGCTGGCCTTCAATTTACAATTCTCTGGCCTTAGCCTCCTGAGTCACTGGGATTGCAGGGTGCACCACCACACCCTGCTGTAATGACTTTATTGAACTATATAATTCACAAGCCATATAATGTACTCCTTTAAAGCATACAATTCCGTGGTTTTTAGCATATTTGCAGAGTTGTGCAGCTTTCACCACTGTCTCATTCCAGGACATTTCCATCACCCTAAAAAATGTCATACCATTTGGCTATCATCCCTACTCCCCCATCCACCAGACCTTTCTGTCTCCTGGGAGCATTTTCTGGCTGACTCTGGGAGCAGTTTCTACCCTGCTTTCCCTGTCCTACGGTTGTGGCTTTGGGAGCCATAGGCATACAGGCCAGGCACTGAGTGGTAGCAGGCCATGGCTTCAGCTCAGCCACAACATAGAAAGTCCTGGCTCAAGAAGAGCGTGCCCTGGATACAGGGGACTGCAGCGGCATCCGGCTGGCCTGTCATTCCTGTGCCTTGTTCTTGTGGCTCAGGTACGGGTTGATGGCTCCCAGGATGCCTACCTATATGAGACAGTCCCTGTGGTGGATGGCAGCCCCATTCTCCGAGACCTCCTCTTTAGCCCTGATTACCGGCACATCTACCTCCTGAGTGAGAAGCAGGTGGGCCCACGGTGGGTGGTGGTGGGTGGGGGGGTAGGGGTAGGCTGGGTGCTGATATGGCTGTCCTCAGGTGAGCCAGCTTCCAGTGGAGACATGTGAGCAGTACCTGAGCTGTGCAGCCTGCTTGGGCTCAGGGGACCCACACTGCGGTTGGTGTGTGCTACAGCACAGGTGAGGGCAGCAGGTGCAGGGTGGCAGGGCAATGGGTTTGCTGGGGCTGTCCTCTGGGGGGAGGCTTCTCCCTATTTGTGCCCAGCAGCTTCCCTGCCCTCCCTCCTCCAGTTTTTCCAGCTAATGAGTGCAACCTCCACCCTGAGTGACGTCCTTTGGATCCCAGGGGACAAGGCTGAGGCACGATGTTGCCTGGCACTGTGAGCTGGCCAGTCTTCCTGTTCCCCCACTTTCTTACTGCATCCCCACCAAGGCCCTCTTGGGGCAGTGGTGGGACCAGTTCTGGCCTGTCCCCATGCAGGTGCTGCCGTGAAGGGGCTTGTCCCGGTGCCTCTGCCCCACATGGCTTTGCAGAGGAGCTGAGCAGGTGTGTACAGGTGCGAGTCAGGCCCAACAACGTGTCAGTGACATCACCTGGGGTGCAGGTGAGTGGCATGGAGGGTGCTTGAACCCATGTGTGCTGAACAGGGAGGCTGCACCCTGCTCTGAGCCCTCTGCCTCCCCCAGCTGACTGTAGCCATGCGCAACGTGCCAGACCTCAGTGCGGGTGTGAGCTGTGCCTTTGAGGAGGTGACAGAGAGCGAGGCTGTCCTGTTGCCCTCCGGGGAGCTGCGCTGCCCCTCACCCTCCCTCCAGGAGCTCCAGGCTCTTACCAGGGGGCACGGTCAGTGGGTTGGGGCTGCTTGGAATGGGGTGGGTGGGGTGGCTAGTTGTCCCTGTTAGTTGATGGTTGCCCCTGGGTTTGCTGCAGGGGCCACCCGCACTGTGCAGCTGCAGCTGCTCTCCAAGGAGACTGGTGTGAGGTTTGCTGGGGCTGATTTTGTCTTCTACAACTGCAGTGTCCTCCAATCGTGAGTACCTGGACTAGCATCTATCCCTGGGGACTAAAGGGGACTCTGGAATAGGCAAGAACTTCAGGGGTCTGTTTCTGGGGGCCTCAGGGACTACAGCTGTCAAGCCTTCTTGATCCCTGTCCCCATGTTTCTTTGCGGCTGATGTGAGGTATGGGCCTTTGGTGCCTGGCTATGTTCTTCCTTTATTTCCCAGTGTGTCCTGTGAGAAGGCAGTGCAGGGTGGCATGGCCTTCTCTCCTATTTCTGAAGCTAGTCCTTGCCCCCAGGTGCATGTCCTGTGTTGGCAGCCCCTATCCCTGCCATTGGTGTAAGTACCGCCATGTGTGTACCAGCCACCCCCACGAGTGCTCCTTCCAGGAGGGCAGGGTCCACAGCCCTGAGGTGAGGCGGGTGCCATGTGTTCTGTGAAGGGGCTGGGCTTCTCAGGTGGCCTCTGGCTTTTCTGCATTTGATCTCTTTAGTTTCTTTGGGCCTGGAGAAGAGTAGAGGCCCAGGGTGCCACTGACAGGTGCTTTCTCCCCAGGGCTGCCCTGAGATCTTGCCTCGTGGGGACCTCCTGATCCCCGTGGGTGTCATGCAGCCTCTCACCCTGCGGGCTAAAAACCTGCCACAGCCCCAGTCAGGCCAGAAGAACTATGAGTGTGTGGTCCGGGTACAGGGGCGGCAGCAGCGAGTGCCAGCCGTGCGCTTCAATAGCAGCAGTGTGCAGTGTCAGAATGCCTCGGTAAGACCCTACTAGGGCCTCCACTCCCAAGTGCAAGCTGAAGACAGGGGTGGTTCCTGTCTATGGCCAGCTTGCTGGTTTGCAAGCCTCGGGTGGCCCTGGCAGGGAAACTACTGAGTTTCCTGCTGGGGTTCCTGAGTTGAGGAGAGGGAGAGTTGGCAAGAGTTTTGGAGGAGGGTCTGCTTATGTCATCTGGAGTCACATGGGTCTGATTTCCCCAGTACTCTTATGATGGTGACGAGTATGGTGACACTGAGCTGGACTTCTCTGTTGTCTGGGATGGAGATTTCCCCATTGACAAGCCTCCCAGCTTCCGAGGTGAGGGGTGACATGGGACTGAAGAGCCTGCCTGCCTCCAGGGTAGGGTTGGCACTCCGGGGCGCAGTTCTGCGGGCTCTAGTGCTCCCTGCTTCTCTGCCATTGCTACTGTGTCAGCAGTACCCCCTGTGTTCACAGCCCTCCTGTACAAGTGCTGGGCTCAGCGGCCCAACTGCGGCCTCTGCCTCAAGGCTGACCCCCGCTTCAACTGTGGCTGGTGCATCACAGAAAACAGGTGCCAGCTGCGGGCCCATTGCCCAGCCCCCAAGACCAACTGGATGCACCCAAGCCAGAAGGGGACCCGGTGTAGCCACCCACGCATCATCCAGGTCAGCCTCCTCCATCAGTCATATACCTCCTGCTGGGCACCTGTGAGGAGTCTGCTGACCCTCCCCTCCTATACCACACTGCAGATCTACCCGCTCATGGGGCCCAAGGAGGGAGGCACCCGGGTCACCATCGTGGGTGAGAACCTGGGCCTTGCCTCCAGGGAGGTGGTCCTGCGAGTGGCTGGTGTGCGTTGCAACTCCATCCCCACTGAGTACGTCAGTGCTGAGAGGTGAGTGTGACCATGTGGGTACCCTGCCCCTGTCTGCCATGGCTGGCCCTGACCTTCCCTAACCTCTAGGATCGTTTGTGAGATGGAGGAGTCACTGGTGCCCAGCCCGCAGCCAGGGCCTGCTGAGCTCTGTGTAGGCGACTGTTCTGCCGACTTCCGGACACAGTCCGAGCAGCTCTACAGTTTTGTGGTGTGTGGCCCATTATCCCCTTCCCCTTCCCAGCTCTTTCCCTTCCCCATCCAAGGGGGATGCAGAACAGCCCCTGCACTGGGCTGGCTCCTCCCTCCCCTCAGGGCTGCTTCTTCCCCAGACCCCGACATTTGACCGTGTAAGTCCTACTCGGGGCCCAGCTTCAGGGGGCACGCGACTCACCATCTCTGGCAGCTCTCTGGATGCCGGCAGCAGGGTCACAGTAACCGTGAGAGATGGCGAGTGCCAGTTTGTGAGGTGGGCTGAGCATTGGAGGGGAATTGTGGGGGCAGGGCATCTGAAGGTCCCCAGTCACCTGCCTCAAGCACCCTGCTTGCTCATGTAGAAGAGATGCTGAGGCCATCGTATGTATCTCGCCTGTCTCCACCCTGGGCCCCAGCCAGGCCCCCATCACCCTTGCCATTGACCGAGCCAACATCTCTAGCCCTGGAGTCATCTATACCTACACTCAGGACCCTACCGTCACTCGTCTTGAGCCTACCTGGAGCATCATTAAGTAAGACTCTGGGGAGGATGGGGTCAGAGACTGGGTTAGATCCCTGAGCTTCTTCCCTAGAGCCTCACCTGGTAAGTGGGGCCTTGGCCATCAAGTGATGTGTCCTTTTGAGCCTGAGCCTCCCCTGGTGGAGGGGGCAGAGTTGTACTGAGGACACAGTACCTGGCACCTGCTGGGTGATCCAGGGTCAGGGAGGCCCTGGGCTCTCATGGCAGCCTTGATAACTCTCCAGGGCTGGGTGGGGAGGAACCCTGAAGTCCCTTATCCCTGTCCCAGTGGAAGCACTGCCATCACTGTGAGTGGGACCCACCTGCTGACCGTCCAGGAGCCCCGGGTCCGGGCCAAGTACCGTGGCATTGAGACTACCAATGTGAGTAACAGTTGCCTTTGCCCTGCTGTGCCTATATTGCTCATAGCTTCATGCACCAGGCTGCCCACCCATGTTCCTACAGACATGCCAGGTGATCAACGATACTGCCATGCTGTGTAAGGCCCCCGGCATCTTCCTTGGGCAGCCTCAGCCCAGGGCCCAAGGCGAGCACCCTGATGAGTTTGGCTTCCTGCTGGACCACGTGCAGACAGCCCGCTCTCTCAATCGCTCCTCCTTCACCTACTATCCTGACCCCAGCTTTGAGCCGCTTGGGCCCTCTGGCGTCCTGGATGTCAAACCTGGCTCCCATGTTGTGCTAAAGGTGCTGGTGGGGCAGGGAGGGGTGGGGAGAGAAAGGAACAAGTAGGGACCTGGAGAACCCTGGACTGACTGAGTCCTCCACCTCCAGGGCAAGAACCTGATCCCGGCAGCAGCTGGCAGTTCCCGCCTCAACTATACAGTGCTTATCGGAGGCCAGCCTTGTGCACTCACCGTCTCAGACACACAACTCCTGTGTGACTCGCCCAGTCAGACAGGCCGGCAGCCTGTCATGGTTGGTGGGAGATGGGGAGGTCACCCGGGCAGCCTGGAGGGGAGGGGGGGGTAGGCTCACCCTGGACCTGTCCCCACAGGTGCTGGTGGGTGGCCTGGAGTTCTGGCTGGGTACCCTGCACATCACAGCTGAGCGGGCACTGACCCTGCCAGCCATGGTGGGGCTGGCAGTGGGGGGTGGGCTCCTGCTTCTGGCCATCACTGCTGTGCTGGTCGCCTACAAGCGCAAGACTCAGGATGCAGACCGCACACTTAAGCGGCTCCAGCTGCAGATGGACAACCTGGAGTCCCGTGTGGCCCTGGAGTGCAAGGAAGGTGCCTGAGGCAGGGAGTGTGATGCGGGCTGTGGGAGTTGGGGGCCCACCCTTTACCTACTCAGCTCACTCACACCTTTCTCCAGCTTTCGCAGAACTACAGACAGACATCAATGAGCTAACAAATCACATGGATGGGGTGCAGATCCCTTTCCTGGACTATCGGACCTATGCAGTGCGCGTGCTCTTCCCAGGCATTGAGGCCCACCCAGTGCTTAAGGAGTTGGATGTGAGCCACCCCTGGCCTGCCCATGCCTTGTTTCCCCCAGGGCCACTCCTACTCTCTGAGACTCCCTGTTCCGCACAGACCCCCCCAAATGTCGAGAAGGCTCTGCGCCTCTTTGGGCAGCTGCTGCACAACCGTGCCTTCGTACTCACCTTCATCCACACGCTGGAGGCCCAGAGCAGCTTTTCCATGCGTGACCGTGGCACTGTGGCCTCACTCACCATGGTGGCCCTGCAGAGCCGGCTGGACTATGCCACTGGGCTGCTGAAGCAACTGCTGGCAGACCTCATAGAGAAAAACCTTGAGAGCAAGAACCACCCAAAGCTGCTGCTGCGCAGGTCTGTACTATCCTGCCTGGCCCTTCCCCCAGCTCACCCCTGGCTAGCCCCATTCGTGTCTAGGTTACACACTTGGCCCTGCTCTTTGTCAGGGCCCTGGCCTTACGAGGCCAGGGCCTGAGCACTCTTCTCCTACCCTAGGACAGAGTCAGTGGCTGAGAAGATGCTTACCAACTGGTTCACATTTCTGCTGCATAAGTTTCTGAAGGTGTGCTTGGTGGGCTGGGCAGCAGGGGAAGGACTGTTGGGGGACACCTGGCTGTTAGGCAGGCAGCAAGCTGTGCACCTGACTCCAACTGCAGGAGTGCGCTGGGGAGCCACTCTTCCTGCTCTACTGTGCCATCAAGCAGCAGATGGAGAAGGGTCCCATTGATGCCATAACGGGCGAGGCACGCTATTCTCTGAGTGAGGACAAGCTCATCCGACAACAGATTGACTACAAGACACTGGTGAGGAGCACAGGGACAGGTGGGCACGAGATGTGGGGATGGGGAGAGGCCTTGCCCCAGACTGATGCTCCTCTGGTGCCCTTTACCCTTAGACACTGCACTGTGTGTGCCCAGAGAGTGAGGGCAGCACCCAGGTCCCAGTGAAGGTTCTCAACTGTGACAGCATAACTCAGGCCAAAGACAAGCTGCTGGACACTGTGTACAAGGGCATCCCCTACTCCCAGCGCCCCAAAGCTGAGGATATGGATCTGGGTGAGGCCCCCTCTCCCTCCTCCTGGCCCCCACCTATACATGCCAAGGGGGCTGTTATGCTCCCCATTTGAGTTTGGTTCCCTGAAAGAAATAGACCCAGAGTCTTGGGGGAATGCTTTTAAGGGCTAACTGTGGCCCACAGAATGGCGCCAGGGCCGCATGGCCCGCATCATCCTCCAGGATGAGGACGTTACTACCAAGATTGAGTGTGACTGGAAGAGGGTCAACTCCCTGGCCCACTACCAGGTGAGAGGCTGGGAACCTGATCACCCCCAGGGCCACATGGGAGCCAGGGTATTGCCCTGAATCACAGCAGGACACAGGAGGAGTGGTCCTGGCTTCTCCCAGCCCTTTTGCCTCGAGTACCACCCATATGTACACTAAAGGGTCTGGGTGCAGAGGGTGATGGCCTTTGGCTTCCTATACTGCCCCTTCTCTGTCTCTGGGACCTTCAGGTGACAGATGGTTCCTTAGTAGCACTCGTGCCCAAACAAGTATCTGCCTATAACATGGCCAACTCCTTCACCTTCACCCGCTCCCTCAGCCGCTATGGTAAGTGTCCTTAGCATGGTGACTTCTGCTGGCCCTTTATCCTTTGAGGCTGCATAAGCCATCCTGGGGAGCCCCCAAGTAGCTTGGTTGGCCCTGGAGGCTTTACCAGGGAGGTAAATGCCCTTGGGAGGCTTCCCATTCTGTACAGCCTCAAAGTTGGATGGGTCAGCAAGAGCAGACAATCTGCTGGGCTCCTGGGAAAGAGTGGGGCAAGAAGTTGGGCAATGGCCACTGGCTCCAGTGATCTAAGGGTCACACTTGTTCTCTGCCCCAGAGAGCTTGCTCCGCACTGCTAGCAGCCCTGATAGCCTCCGCTCACGGGCACCCATGATCACACCTGACCAGGAGACGGGCACCAAACTGTGGCACCTGGTAAAGAATCATGACCACGCCGACCACCGAGAGGGGGACCGTGGCAGCAAGATGGTCTCAGAGATCTATCTAACACGGCTTTTGGCCACTAAGGTGTGCATCTGCCCTATGTCATCTCAGTCTCTGCACAAATACCCTCTAGCCCCAGCCACTTTCTCAGGGCTTTGGAATAAGAACTCTAAACCCAATGTTCAGTTGGGTCTTATAGGAAAGCCTCTCTTTTTTGTGTATGGGGGGGCATTCAACCACTGAGCCACATCCCCAGCCCTACTTTGTATTTTATTTAGAGACAGGGTCTCACTGAGTTGCTTAGTGCCTCGCCATTGCTGAGGCTGGCTTTGAACTCATGATCCTTGCAATCCTCCTGCCTCAGCTTCCCAAGCTGTTGGGATAACAGTTGTACACCACCACGCCAGGTGGAAAGCCCGTCTGTTTGCCAAGACTTTCTGCCTATTTGCTAGGCTTCAGGAACAATCTGACCTAGGTCCCTCATAGCTTGTGTCCTCACTGTTCCCCATAGGGCACACTGCAGAAGTTTGTGGATGACTTATTTGAAACAGTATTCAGCATTGCCCATCGGGGCTCAGCCCTGCCCCTGGCCATCAAGTACATGTTTGACTTCTTGGATGAGCAGGCTGATCAGCGCCAGATCAGTGATCCTGATGTGCGCCACACCTGGAAGAGCAACTGGTACTGCCCTATTCCTGGCTGCTGATGGCTTCCTGGGGATGGGTGGATGGAAGAGGCTGGTGGCTTTGCCAACACCTAGGCCCCATGGAGGATAGGTGACCAGCAGGGACAGGAAAAGATGGTGGCTTGGCCTGGAGGCAAGTGAGTCTGTAGGTAGATGTTGCTAGGTGCTTTGGGTGAGTGGGATGTGGGCAGTGAGGCCAGTTCTGAGATGTGGCCCTTTGCCCTCCAGGGTCTTGTGCAGGGTAGAGGTGCTGATTGCTTGTCATAGGTGGTGGTAGTGGTAAAAGTGAAAGCTGCAGAGGGACTTGAGACCTATTGAGGACAGAGGGGCCATTTCCTCTTATTTCTCACTGCCTGAAGTCCAACTGAAACTTCAAATGTCATATGTGTCTCTTGCCACCTCAGGACAAGATGTGAACTGGCCAGACAGGAATAAGTGTGAAGGGAGGCAGTGGTGGTAGTGGGTCCATGGGGGCTACTAGGAGCCTTGGATATGTGTCCCTCTGTTCAGCCTGCCCCTGCGCTTCTGGGTGAATGTGATCAAGAACCCTCAATTCGTGTTTGACATCCACAAGAACAGCATCACAGATGCTTGCCTGTCAGTGGTGGCCCAGACCTTCATGGACTCCTGTTCCACATCAGAGCACCGCTTGGGCAAGGACTCACCTTCCAACAAGCTACTCTATGCCAAGGACATTCCCAACTACAAGAGCTGGGTGGAGAGGTGGGCCCCAAGAGGAGACTGCTGTGGGTGACTGAGTTACCCCACCCTAGGCAGCCTGTATAAGGCGAGCCAGCTGAGGAAAAAAGCCCCTGAGGCTGGCTGGGCAGCAAGGGCAGGGGTTTTGGAATTTGTGATATCTGCTTGATTAACCTACTCAGGGTCCCAACAGGTACTACCGAGACATTGCAAAGATGGCTTCCATCAGTGACCAAGACATGGATGCCTACCTGGTGGAGCAGTCCCGCCTCCATGCCAGTGACTTTAATGTCCTAAGTGCACTCAGCGAACTCTACTTCTATGTCACCAAGTACCGCCAGGAGGTGTGTTGTGCACCCTTTAGACCCCTAGTGACTTGACCCTGAAGGTTCAGCCAGGCTCAAGGCAGGGGGCTGATGGGGGCTGGGGAGTACTACAAGGAGGTAGATGGGACAGAGGGGATACAGAGTACATCTTTAGATTGTTTATGGTTTCCTCCTCATTTGGCCAGGCCCAGGGGTCAGCACAGATGATACTCTGCATGGAGGCTGAGATTTGAGGGACACAGAAGAGAAGCCATTGGCTAGAGCTCAGGGTTTCCACTAGGCAGAAGTTAAGGGGCTGAGCCAGATGCTATGATGCATGTCTGTAATCCCAGCTATTTGGAGGCTGAGGCAAGTGGATCACGAGTTCAAGACCATCCTCTAATGTAATGAGGCCTTGTCTCAAAATTAAAAGGGCTGGGCAGTGGTGCAGCATTTGCCTAACATGTGTGACAGCCTGGATTCAATCCCCAGTACAGCAAAAAGAGGGTGTGCAGTTTGAGCACTGGAATGGATGGTCTTAGGGGTGTGGGATGGGGATAGAAGTGGGTGGGGCCAGCCATTTATAGGACTTGTGGGCTTTGTAATTGGAGATGTTAGTAGGGGTGGGGCATAAACCTGTGGACTTCAAGATTTATTCTTGGTTGAAGGATTGGATGTGGGCCAGGAGAGAAACAGAGGAGCCAAGGGTGACCGCAGGGTGTTTTGCCTAAGCAATTGGCAGGACAGGCTCCACTGCCATAAACGCAGGATGGAAAGACTGTGGGTGGAACAGTCCTATGATAGGGTTAGGGACAGAGACCGGGAGTTCTTCAGCCCCACTCCGGCCTTCCGTGGAAAGTGGGAAAGCCCTGGGGAAACCTCAGAGCACTCTCAGGTTGGGTAGGAGGAAGAGTGCCCAGGTAGACTGGATTGTCTGGGGAGGCTGAACCAAGTACTGTTCTATAGCCAAGAGGGCTAAGAGACTTGACATGCCAAGTAGGCATCTGGATATTGGGTCTGGAATTTGGGGGAAAGTGTGGGCTGGAAATGCACCTTTGTGAGCCAGTACAAGGCATTTAAAGCCCTGACCATGGGTGGGCTTACCGAGGGAAGTCAGAGTGGGTTCAGAGGGGTGTGTGGCCCAAGCGTGCAGCCCTGGGCTACTCAGAGATCGGAGAGGAGAAGAGGCTCTGGCAGCAGGGTGGGAGGGAACCCAAGAGTGTCTCAAGGAGTCCTACAGCCTGAGGAAGGACCCCCTCAGGGTCAAGCAGAGGAGAGCGGCCTTCTCTGCAGGGTGCTACAGCTGGTCAAGGAGGATGGAACTATAGCACACTCCCCGGGTCTGGCTATGAGATCACGGAGACCTAAACAAGAGAGGTCCGGGTGGAGGAGGTTTGGGGCTAGAAGGCCATGGGAAGGGGGCAGTCCGTACAGTGAGTCTAGACTACACTTGGGAAGGGGCTGCATGCTGGCCGTACAGAGTAGAAAGCTCCATAATTGGAAGGTGCTGGGAGTCAAGGTGAATTGGTGGGTTTGTTCAGAGGTGAGAGATTTGAACCATGAGCTTCCCACAGGGGCTGCAGGGAG